ACATCCTTCCTTCTGCCAGGGACACCCAGGAAATTTTGTCAAACACAGGAGACAGCAAGAGTGTCCTGGACAAGGGCATGGTGTCAGGGAGTCTCTTTGCAGTAGATCCGGTAAGAGCAGGAGGCGGGTGGCAGGGGCGGAAGCTCTACTGTCCCGGTACTTCCGGTGTGCCTGTTCTCCAGTGTTCTAGAAGGCTTATATACTTTCCCCATTTTGTAACTGCCCCAGTCCCTCAAGGAGGACAGGTTGCTACAACTGCCCCATAAATGGATTGTCTGGCAAGCCTAGAGAGCATTTTAACAGACATAACAAGGGCATTTTGCCCATTTAATAAAGTTAACTTAGAAGAACATCTACTTTGAAATCTTGGAGAGAAGTTCTGTGTGACTTTAAGAGAATAAATAGACATAGCAGCAGAAACATTTCAAAACTCTGACAAACAGGATCATACCTAGAGGTGGCCAAAGGGGTGGGATTGGAGGAAACGGCCTCCCTAGTCAGAATTGCCTTTCCCTCACCTCCTACACACACACACACAACACGTGTGCACATGTGCCCTTTCTCAGCTGAGGTTTTCCCAGTGTCTCCACAAAAGGCTGAGACTATCCAAGCACAGAATAAAGACTTAGCAAATGTCAAGCGAATGATTCTGCCACCTAACACAGCAGTAGAGTTCTGAATTGAGCATTAATAAAAAGCCTCTTGGGGTACAGACATTCTGAGTTCTAAAGCTGCACCAAAGGGTCTGTGCCATAATTGGCAACTTGAACTTTTTTATCTTTTTTGGCTTTTTTAAGACAACCTCCTTTTGAGAAGGGAAATCAGATGAGCCCATCTTGTGTCTTCCTTGCCAGCTGTACGATTCATTCCCGTGATTTACTGGGCAATGGGAAGGCCCTGAGGAAGGCTTCAGGAAGTGGCTGGAAAGAGTGGTTGTCACTTTGCAGAACAAGGGAGGAAGGGAAGAAGAGAATGGACCTGTGCATGGGAAGAAAGGGACAGGCCAGGCCTGCAAGGGAGTCCAGAGAGGGCCCTGATAGATTATGGTTCTACTTAGTGGATGGTCAAGCAGAGGGAAGAGAGAAAAATGCTGTGCTGACTTTGCAGAGCTGCCTTTGGATGCAGAACATACCTAAATATGGTAGAAATAATTCACAGAGGACTTTCAAGAGCTTTCTAGAACTTCCTAGAAGTCTTTGTAGGTGCTCCTCCCAGCCAATATTTTTAAATCAAGTTTTTTACTAAGAAGTAATATATACTTGTGTATTTTAAAGAAATACCCAAAATTGAAATAAAAAGCATCAACTTTTGTATATTTCCTTTTTCAAAACCATTCATTGAGGCATTATACATATACACATATATGTGTGTGTATGTTTGTGTGTGTATGAGGTATGATCAAAAGATAATGAATGTTTAAATTTAAAAAATTATTACAGTAAAAGATACATTGCCATTAATCCTCCTCAAAATACTCCCCCTCATTTTGAACACACTTATCCTGCCATTCTTGCCACCTTCTGAAGCAGCTCTGTAAGTCCTCTTTTGTGAGTGTCTTTACTTCATCCTCTATCATGACAGTGCTCTGTGTCACACATTGCTTCTAGTATGGCAATTTTGGTCAGAAACATTATGGTGTGTTTTTATCTACCTTATTCACTGGATCTGGTACCGTGTGACTTTGGCTCTTCCCCAACGTCAAAATGACCATGAAAGATAAATGTTTTGAATTGATTCAGGACGTGGAGGCAGCCATAACAGTGCAACTAAAGACACTCACGAAAGAGAACTTCCAGAACTGCTTCAGAAAGTGGCAAGAACAATGGGATAAGTGTGTTCAAAGCAAGGGGGACTATTTTGGGGGTGGGGGGACTCAATGGCAGTGTGTCTTTTACTGTAATAAATTTTTTTAAATTTAAACATTCACCATATTTTTTAATCACATCTCACACCATATATATATATAGATATAGATAGACAGATAGATATAGATATATATATAGATATAGATACACACACACACACACACACACATACACATACCAGGGGTACCAAAAAAATGTATATGTGTATATATATATATATATATATATATATATATATATATGTGTGTGTGTGTGTGTGTGTGTGTGTGTGTGTATAAATGTATATGTGTATATATGATATATGTAGTCTATGAGTCCATTTCCTCAGGATAAGCACACAGTTATGTTTCTCTGTAACTCAGGTTAAGGAGAGGGCAGGATTTTGCTTGGCAGCCGAGTTGTACTAGAGTTTAGCCCCTGTGGGTAAATGCTGGAGCACCTCCTCTTGTAGGCCTTCTAACTTAACATGACTTTTTCCCTGTCTTAAATAAGCTCCTTTCCCACCCAAATGTCCTGATGAAAGAACATTTCCTGAGCTGAGGATATAGGTGNTTCTAGATACTACTCCTTTGTCCCATATGTAGTTTGCAGATTTTTCTCCCGGTCTATAGTTTGTTTTGCTATGCTCTTCACAGGGTGTTTTGCAGAGAAAATTTTTTATTTTGAGGAGGTTCATTTTATTAGTTTTTGCAAAGAATTTCTCCTTTGTTTTTAAGAAGTTTTGTAGTTTTATGGGTCTGTAGATGTCTGGTTGCTCAAGTGCCGCTTGTTGAGAAGACGTTCTCTTCTAGAATTGCTTCTGCACCTGTCAGATACCAGTTGGACATTTGGGTGGATCTGTTCCTGGGGCCTCTTTTATGGTGCACTGACCTGTGTGTCTGCTCCTCCGTGGAAAGATGTTCTAACCTGTCTGTCTCCTAGCCTACAGCGCCAAACAGGAGTTCCTCTTCCTGACAGCCGTGCCAGACGCTGGGAGGTTGCCGGGAGAGAAGCACATACCCGAGGAACTGAAGGTGGGCACAGCAGGCAGGGGCACTGACCCCTCCAAGCCTGGTCAGCAGAGGAGCAGGGCTGCCTCTTCCCGTTCTTACCTGTGGGGTCTCCTCTCACCTGATCCCTGCCTCCAGCCCCTGCGTGTCCCCCACTGACACGTGGGTACTAGCCTCCCCTCCCTCTGTGTGCTCATCAGTTATTTCCACTTACCATTGTGTTCTGCTTTGTAGTCACTGCTTTTGTCACTTCTGCATGTTTCTGTTCATCTTTTTCACTTCCCTTTGGGGGAGGCACCGTCACATCTATTTTTGTATCTCTCACAGTGCTTTGTGCATCATGGCTGCTCTGTCAATGTTGATTGTGCTGAATTCCTGACCAGCCCAGAATGAGCCTTGCCAGGGGCATGGTGGGTGCTGGGCAAGGTCGGGAAAAGCCAAGGACATGGGAAAGATCTCTGCCTTAGAACCATGGAAATTCAGAGTTAGAAGGGGCCTTGGACAGGAGAGCAGTCATTGCAGCCCGAAAGTGCTGTGGATGAGAGAACTGAGTTTAGGAAAAAGGCTAAGCATCTAGAATCCCATGGGAGTTAGTGGCAGCACCCAAGGCTGCTGACTTGTCCCCAGTGCTCACCTTCTGTGACATCCTGACCCAGACCTTTCTTCTCAGGCTCCTTTTGCACATAAATCCCTAACCATCCCTCAGCCAAAATGAGGGATGTCCTCTTAATATCCCCTCTCACTTGTTGACGCCCCATCTCCACCCCCACCTCCTCCCCCGTTCCAGGTCTGGAAGGTTTAGGTTGTAGTTGTGTTGGAAGGAATGAAGTGGGTAGACCAAGCTCTAAAGGTGTAAATCAGCCCAGAGTTAAACCACAGAGAAGGGACAGTTCCTATCCATGATTTGCAGTGTAAGGACAACAAATTAGAACCCAACCAACAAAGGCTAGAAAGCACGCTTCTGGCCAGAGTATCGTGCTTTTGGAGCTAACTTTTCACAGGACATGGACGGACTAAAGATCAAGTCCACACAACTATTATGAGATAGGCCTGCAATATTGCTTTTAGGTTGAGGTATGTTCCCGGGCAAGGAAAGTATGTGGATGGACAGAGACAAGAAACAAACCTGGAGGAAACAGGAGAGTGGCTCCAATAGAAAGTGTTAATTAAGGAAATTGATGTTTAGTGACTTGAATCAATAATAACACGAAGGAAGGGTGAGAGTTTTGCAAGAGGAATAAAGTGCTTTGAGACAGGCACCACTCGGATGCTGCAGCATTGCAGAGAAGAAAACAACATCTTGGTGGTCACTTCTGTGGGTGGAGGGACGCTCTTCCTATAAAGCCTGTTGGCCTCCAGGAACCACTGTGACTGAAAGTACTACACCTACACGTGCCTTATGGTTTACAGGGCACTTTCTGGGTTTGACTATGTCACGGACAGCAGGTAGGGGGCCTGGGCTTTCAATTCAGTGTTCTCTGTCTCCTCCTCCTTCCCCATCCCACTGATTCACATAAAACTCAGATGTGAGGAGAAAACTCAGATGTGAGGAGCAGGACATGGGGACAGTAGTCAGGCACAATTCTTTGAGACCAAGAGTCATCAGATGATGTTAAACTCAGCATATGTTTTCCCAAAAGAAAGGTGATTTTTGAAGAAGATCTGGTTGCTTNTTGAGACATCTCCGGCCCCTGAGCACTGTTGCTTAGTGGATACGGTCACTTAGCCTTAGCCCCCCACCCTGTCTGGGGTGGCACTTAAACCCCCCATACAGGAAACTGAAAGAGCTTTGTAAACATGTGGCCGTAGGAGATTTTCTCACGTGTTTGAATTTACTTCACTGGTGTTCGCAGTATTTTTGCTTTTGAACCAGTGTGAAGTATCATCACAAGGAAATAACTGCCAACACAGTAGTATCCTATGTGATGAAGGTCCACTCCTTGTAAAGCAGGTGGTGAGTTCTTGGTCTCAGCGTCCAGGGGCTGGTTGTAACTCGGGTGTCTGTGGGGCTGCTCCTTCAAGCTCTGTCCTCGGGGAAGTGGGCTCTGTCCCAGAGTCCCTCGATGGATGTATGGCTTCATCTCACCTACCTGCTCCTAATGATTTCTCTGCCAGTTAAGCCGATAGGAAGAGCAGATTTGTTTTGAACTGCTGTTTAAAGCAAAGCTTACCTTTTTTTAAAATAGTGTTATGGTCTGTCTTCAGCTCAGAAATGAACCACGGTTCATTTGTGGCAATGACTCATCCTTGGTTAACAAATTCAGGGTCAGGTTGAACTAGGCTCAGATGTTATAACTAGACTTTATCATAGGGAAATAAATCCCATTCAGTGATGGGAATACCATGGTGTGGGATGTTGAAACTTGAAATGAAAAATGACATTCTTGTGAACTTGCTGTGCTGTTTGACTTCCTCTTGCAGTCTTTTGCACCCACTTAGCCCCTCAGCCTGATTATAAGCTGCTTAAGGGCAGAGCCCATGAACTGGAGGCACAACATGGTTGGGAAGATGAGCGGATATGATCACTTCTAGAAAAACAAGGCAGTATGTCACTTGGCAAATTTAAAAACATTTTGTAAAACATTATAGATATTGGGTTGTCGGAAAAGTCATGACGTATTTTTTTCTGGTTTTCATTGCAAGCATGCGTTTTGACTTTTCTGACAACACAATATAGTGATGCCTATAACAAAAGCAAGCTAATGCATCATGAAGACACCTGGCCACACCTGGAGGATCANTTTCGTTGCTACTCTATATAACTGTAATTTTGCTACTGTTATGAATCGTAATGTAAATATCTTTTTGTTTTCCGATGGTCTTAGGCGACCCCTGTGAAGGGTCATTCGACCCCCAAAGGGGTCGCGACCCATAGGTTGAGAATCGCTGGTTTAGATACTATTTTCAAAGGGCTGCCCCGAAGGCCAGGATCTCCTCACTTTTCCCCGCAGAGTCCCCGTCTCAGGCATCGTGCCCACCCAGCGGATCCCTTCAGGTTCATTGCATTGGCTCTTACGAGTCACTGGCTCTGTTCATGCTCGCTGAGCCACCAGGAAGCTGCCCCCACAGCTGCCTTTCCTGGAGTGAGAAGAGCCCACACCCAGTGCCTGGGAGGGGAGCCCTCCCTGCCAGTGGGTCTGGGGGCATCTTCACCCGCAGACCAAGTAGTCTGTGCCACTTGGGTAAAAAGAGATGGGCCCTGTATCACACCAAGTGTCCATATTCAGAGGATTTAACTGCCTTGTGTCAGGAAATCTGATGTTTTTTGGGGAACAAATTAGGGCATTGCAAAATGACCTCATATACTAGTTTTGATTACTTACCACTATTTTCAGTCACCTTGTTTATTAGTTTAAACTCCACTTATTCTGAACTGGTCCAAGATCATTATGGGCTCTGCTGTTGAATTCAGCTTTAAAAGAAACAGAGTTACAGTCGACAACAGTGTGACTCCTGTCAAGAATCAGACCTGGGAGCATGGTGGGAGGTGGCCCCGGTCCTTGTCTGCTGCTGTTCTCAGAGGCAGTGCTCAGGGGGCTGTCATTTGGCCTTTTCACTGGTTGATTGGGGGAGAAAAGCGAGACACTGGCCTCATTTTCTGGTATATAATGAATGTGCTTCTTGAATAATCTGACAGTATATTGGATTTTTGACGTTGTAGACTGAGGTTACAAATCAAATTTAAAACAATGAATATATGAAAGTTTTACAAATCTGCCACTACAGCATGAAGCATCAGACGTTAAGGAAGAAGTAAACATCCACTTACAAAGGCAGGACAAAAAGAGGAGTGGGTCTGCCAGGTAGTATAATAGAAAATGGGCTGCCTGTGTGGCTGTCATCCACCCTACCTAGACACACCTGGATGGGGACAGGTATCTAAGCAGGCTCAGGTGCAAATCCACAGAGCTGGTTCATTACAACCTTGCTCATTTCACAACCATCCACAGTACCTAGCACAGAGCCCTGCACTGGTGTAAGTATTTGAGGGAGGAAGGAATAGAACAGACAAAACAGTGGCCACTGCTTAGATGGCCCAACATAAGAAATTCCTCCCTGCCAGACTCTGCATGTAGCATGACAGGATTAGCACGATGGATGTGAAGGTTTGCAAAGGCCTGGCTAAAACCTCTGATAATGCCACTTTATTTCCATTTGTCTCAGTTGAGAAAAGAATTAAAAGTCTGCTCTACGCACCATCCCAAGGACAGGCCCTCCCCCACCTGGTTCCGTTCATCAGCCTGACTCCAGGCCTTTTGGCTCTTGACCCTGACCTGTCTTCTGTCACTCCTTGTCCTCCTTGACGCCTGCTTCAAATACATCGCACCAGTTCCACCACATTAGCCAGATTGTTCCAGCACACCTCTGCCACTTGCCAGTCTGGGGTGCTGTGGGGTTCTCGAGGATCCACCTCAGGCCTGGGGGGGCTGGTGCTGGGAGCGCCTCGCCTGTTGGGAGTGTGGGCCCATGACTGTGATGTGGGCATAGTCTGGCATCTCCCCTGTTTCATAGTAGAATCAGTATGCTTGTTTTAGGCATCCTGTGTGCACGCAGGGACCTTTCTTTTATGGCAGTTCTAACCCAGTTTCGGTGCATTACCAGTAGACACTGTCCTTATCTCCATCCCGTGCTCCCTCCCTCCCTCGCCCTCCTCCTAATTTGTGTTTCCTAGTTGGCTTTCAGATTACTAAAAGCTTTTCTTCACTCTCACCCTTCCGGGAAAAGCCTTGGAAATTCAAAGGCCTCACCATGGATTTTGGGGATGGCTTGTGGGGAACGTGGGTCCAAGTTAAGAGACGGGCATTTTCTTTAAGGGTGGCACTGAGGCAGCCAACTCACGTTCTCTGTTGATTACTTCCCAGGGGCCTTTCCTTCCATCGAAGAGATCCCTGAAAACGTGGTTCACGACCACGAGAAGAATGGCCTCCCACGCCTCTCCTCCTTCAGCGATGCAGAAATTCAGAAGCGGTAGGGGCAGTTTCCTATGGGAGGGAGTTTTGCTAAAACCCGGGACTCGGTGCTGTACTTGCCGGGTACCCCACGTTGTGCCAAGGAATCCTGGGCTATTGGTTTGCATTGGTAAGAGGCAGCTGAGTGTAGGCCCAGCATTCAGTGCCTTTTAAGTTCACAAATCTTTTTTTTTTTTTTTAATTGGGGAATTGGGGGAGGGGGAACAGACAAGTTGCTGTCATTTTGTTCTTCAGTCTAGTTGTGGAGGACGTCGCTTCACTGGCCCATGTTGGCACCATCATTGTGCTCTTACCGGGTGAGGTAGATAGGTTGCCGGCCTCTGGATGGCTGTTCACAGCGGCTCTTGGCAGCTCACACCAGCTGCCAGCCACTCACACTGGCTGCCAGCCACACACGATAGCTTATGGCAGCCCACTGCAGCAAGGGCTGCAGCCTGTGCCGTCACCGGCAACTTACGGCAGCCCAGCTCCAGGTTGAGCTGTTGTTCACCATCTTGGCTGTAGAGGGCAGTGTCACTGGCCCCCATGTGGGATCCGAACTGGGGCCCTGCTGCTCAGAGCTGGCGTCCCAAGCCGGCTCTTAACCAACACGCCACTCGGATGGCCCTAAAGTTCACAAATCTTGATGAGAATTTCAGAACACCTCTCTGCCCGCACCTTCAGTCAGTACTTTAAAATGAAGGTTTGGTCATTTTCTTAATAGAAATGAGTGGCCGTTTTTGTTCTGATTTGGCTGTGTTTTATGGACTCCTTATTGAATGTGCTCATTATTTCATGAAAAAGGATTTAGGTCATGGGGAAACCCCATTTCATTTTTCATTTTTCCCAAAGGCGTTATGCCTGCTTTCAACCGTGGCTGGCCCAGGGGTGGTGGTGTGGACTAGGCCCAGCAGTCATGGCAGGGGTGGACGCTGGTGTTTAGAAAATTACTTAGCTAATAAATTGAAACATTCTCTTCATTAGCTACAAAATGACCCTATAGAACAAGGTTTAAAAGGAATAAGAAGGTCAGAGACACACTGAACTTTGACCTCTTGCTCCGCACTTCCTTTTCAATCCTTCTATCCTGGTTACATGGTCTTCCCAACTTGCACAGAGCCTTCTGATCAGAGGTGCTCCTGGGCTAGGGCTGTCCTGTCACCCACCTAAGCATCCCTGGGGTCTTGTGAGAGGAAATGACTTAAGGCATGCAGAGCACTGAGCATAAGCACAGTGTAATGACAGCAGCGTCCTCATGTTCTGTCATTGTTACTGCTGCGGGCCCTTCACACCAGTACCACTGCACCACCACTGCCACTGCAGGCAGCTCTCCCAGGCCACCCTTCCTGCCAGCTGCAGCCTGAAGCCTTGCTCTCCATTTCTCTTACTTCTCCCCCTCTTACTTTTCTGCCCCCATCCTCGCCCCCGGCAATTTTGAAATGAGTTTATAAAGATAAACCCTTAAAGGGCCGGCCAAGTGGCTCAGTTGGTTAAGAGCTCGCTTAAGAGTTTGAGCTCTGAGCAACAGTGGTTCGAGTCCGGCCCAAGCTGAGCTGCCACTGAGCTGCCAACAGGTGGCAGGATGGCTCAGCTAAAAAAAAAAGAAAAAAGATAAACCCTTAAAGTAACTTTCTCTGGCCTCAGCTACTCCTGATTCATTCAGAGTTCCTACCGTTAGGATTTTCTGCCCAGAAACAAAACTTTTCAATGTTCTTGAAGTTTTGAAATAAGTAAAACAAAACATGGGTTAAATAGATGTTTTCCGAGTGGTCCCTGAGGATGGGGCGTGTGGCCTTGGACAGTTAAAGTTTCTGAGCCTGCATTTCCTCACTGTAAAGGGGTTAATAACAGGATCTGCTTCTGGTCGTGGCTCAGTGGCTTAAGTAAGAGACTCGTGTTGTGCTTGCTCATGTCAGGGACCCCGTGAGGGTTCAGGAAGCGACAACAGCTGCTCCAGCTGCTTTCTCTGCCCCTCCCACCCTCACACAGCTGTTGCCACCAACAGCATCGGCTTAACCTCTTGTTTATCTTCATTTTTTTTTTCTTTAGCTTGAAAACATACTTCAAGTTTTTTATCGTAAGAGATCCCTTCGAAAGACTGATTTCTGCTTTTAAGGATAAGTTTGTTCACAATCCCCGCTTTGAACCTTGGTACAGGCATGAGATTGCCCCTGGCATCATCAGGAAGTACAGGAGGAACCGGACAGAGACCAGGGGCATCCAGTTTGAAGATTTTGTGCGCTACCTGGGCGATCCGAACCACAGATGGCTGGACCTTCAATTTGGGGACCACATCATCCACTGGGTGACATATGTAGAACTGTGCGCACCCTGCGAGATAACATACAGTGTGATTGGTCACCATGAGACCCTGGAGGACGACGCCCCATACATCTTAAAAGAGGCTGGCATAGACCACCTGGTGTCATACCCTACCATCCCGCCAGGTATCACCGTGTATAATAAAACCAAGGTGGAGCTCTACTTTCTGGGCATCAGCAAACGAGACATCCGGCGCCTGTATGCCCGTTTCGAAGGGGACTTTAAGCTCTTTGGGTATCAGAAGCCAGATTTTTTGCTCAACTAATGCATAGGACTGTGAATTCAGATATCTTTGTTAGACCGGAGGCTGAGCAGGTAGAGCTCCAAGGACAGAAAGAACACTCACACCATTACACTCCTTGGAAGACTCCTGCAGTTTCCTACGGGCCCGCGTGTGCCTCAGCTGGTGAAGCTGCTCCCTGGCAGTTACGGCTTAGTCTGAACATCAGGTGCACTGAGGGCCTCGCCCACCACCCCACCAATGCCATTATGCTCTTCTTAGAAGGGGAAGAGGACTAAACATTTGCAGCCTGACAGACCGGGAGGAGTCATGCAGCCTTAGAAGTCAGTTCCCTCAGCTGTTTAGGAGGCGGGCGCACTTGCAGCTCCCCTGGATGGTGGAGTGGCCCTGCCTGTCACCCAGGGATTGTAGGAATGGCACCCAGTCCTTTCAGGAGACATGAGAAGCTAATGGTCCACAGAAATCGCAGGGTCTGATACAGGACCACAGCTGAGTAATAAAGTTACACCCCTGGCTTTTATCTTGGCACTGCTGTAAGCACAGGGGCAAACCATTCTTTCCACGACTATCTTCGTGGTGAGCTGAGGGCACTTTCTGGCAGTCCATCTTCCCGGAACACATGCTCGTGTACCCCTCGTCCTTTTTTCTGAACCTCCACCTGCCAAGCGATTATCCCATTCTGCCCAAGAGATACAATTTTGGAAAGTGGGGCGAGTGTAGGTTCTTTCAGCCTGAGAAGGGGAACATCTGTGAGGGCCTTAAGGGAACATGGCACAGGAAAAGGGAGAGCTGGTTGGGTTCTGGCTCAGCTGCTGTGGATTTGGGCATGTCCGTCCTGATTATTGTCCCCCTCTCGTCTTTGTTCCAGCTGGATGGGCTCCAGGGCTTCTCTGCCTGTCTCCCCCAGGGCAGACCAGGCAACATGCCAGCATTGCAGAGTCAGTGTAGTTTACATGTTTCAGTTTTTTTTCATCTCAGCGACGTGCTCACCACCAGACCCCTTTCTGATAATGTCATCATCCCGGACTCTAAGTTCGAAAATGAGGTTCATCAGCAATAAAACTGTGGACCAAGGCAGCCTCTAGTAACGCATCTCCCAGGCACCGAGGAGCAAGCCACGGCCACCATGTCAGATGCCATCTGACCATGAGGGCCCTTGAGATACGGGACAGTTTCCCAACTGAAAAGACCGAAGTGCCCAGCTCTGTGCAGCACCCATGAGCCCGGCTTTTCTTCCAGGCAGCCTCAGCCTTCCCTTTTTTTCAGAAGGGCTGCTGGAGTCTGTAAATGTGAAAGTAAAATAAAAACGTGCCAAACCTGACCTGTGCTCCAATTCCAGGGAAGTTTCTCTGTGCTGTGCATGGTCCCCGAGACCTGGCAGCCATGATGGGCAGCGCAGGCCTACACAGATGGCTGCTGGTGACAGGAGCAAGGAAGGGAAGCAAGACGCAAGTGCGACCCACCGTGACATTGATGGGAGGGGGGCGGTGGGGGCAGTCTGTGTGTTAGAGCCTTTTATCCTCAACTGACACACAGGATGTAACACGCGTTATTTTTCTATAAAGTTTTAGCACAGTCTTGTTAAAATCATTTCACACCTAATGAGCTGATTGATTACCTTTTTCCTATTTGAAATGTAACAGTGTGAATAATGTGTGTGAATTTAAGGCCTTAAAGTTGGTCCTAATTAAAAAAAAATACCATTTTCTCTTGGAAATAAAGGTTCGACACCTGGGGTCTCCCCTTGACCCTTTTAGCCCCCTTGATTTTCAGATTTTGGTCTTTTTTTTTTTTTTTTGGTATTTGCGTGATTTTCCTAACAGATTTTGCCAAATAACTAGAGATTACCACTAGAACATCTAGACAGTTCACAGTATGTCCAAAATAATGGGTTCCCCACCACCAACGCTGCCCACTGTGGCTCCTTCCCCTACACAGCCCCCCCCCCCTGGAATCCTGCATCCCCTCACCCTCCACTGAGGTCCTTAACTTTCTTCCATCTGCAAAATCCACTTCCTCCCTTCCGGGTCTTAGCGTCCAGTTCTGTCACCTGAGGCAGTTTTCCCCACATTGCTACCCAGAGAGCTTTACAAATATGACCTGGAGCTAACCTGGCCATGTCCTTCCTGGCAGCGAGTGCCCTGCCTTCACTGGGGACCACCCTCACCTGACAGGCTTTGTCGTCCAGACAGCTGTCAACCTGTGCCCACAGCTGTTCTAGGAGCCATGTGCCCTTGGCCCTGGGCCTTGGCTGACTGGGGACCTGCCACAGGGGCAGGGCAGCAGGACCATGATGGGAAAGGGGCCACCGTGGGGCAGGGCTCCCAGCTCATTCTCAGGCAGAGACACCTCCAGGTAAGGAGGAGATGGGCAGCCGGAGAGGGTGGCTGGTGGGAAATGTCTAGGAGAACTCAGAGTAACATTAAGGTTTATTCCAGAGCTGAGCAGAACAGGCTTACAGGGGAGGAGAGGCATGGACAGTGCTGGGATGAGTGCGCAGGCTCAGGGCTAAGGGGACGGTTCCCAGCAGGTGAACTGGGAGGACTAGAGAAGAGAGCAGAAATTGTATCTGCTTCCTTGCCCCCAAGCCAATCTGTTAACTTAATGCTAGTTACCTTGAAGCCATCCAAAACAAGGTTTGGGTGGGACTATCCCATCCATAGTCTGTTTTCCTTAAGGCTGTCACGTTGTTTACCTGGTAAGTGTTTTTGTTTTTATTTTTTTAATTGGGGAATTGGGGGAGGGGAACCAGCCAAGTTGTTCTTCAATCTTAGTTGTGGAGGGTGCCAGTCGCCATCTGGCTGCCCGTTGGCAGCTCATGGCCTCTAAGCTCAAGGTGCTGTGTTCATTCTTAGTTGCGGGTGGACATAGCCACCATCTCATGTGGGAGTCAAACCAGCAGCCTTGTTAAGAGCGCACACTCTATCTGCTGAGCCATCTGGGCAGCAGCTCAGCTCAAGGTGCTGAGTTCAGTCTTAGTTGCAGGCGGGCGTAGCCCACCATCGAACAGACAGTCTTGTCATTAGGAGCACGTGCTTTCACCAGCTGAGCCATCCTGCCACCTGTTGGCAGCTCAGTGGCAGCTCAGCTCGGGTGCAGCCTCACTGGCCCACATGGGAATCGAACCAGTGGCCCTGTTGCTCAGAGTTCGCGCTCTTAAGCTAACTCTTAACCAACTGAGCCACTCTGCTGGCCCTTACCTGGTAAGTCTTAATGGGCCTTGGTCAAAGCCTTTTCAGTCTTGTTTCCTGTTGTCTGGAATTTTTAATACTCAATGTTTGTAACACAGCAAGGTCCCAAGTTTCTGGAATTTTTTGTTTGTTTCTGCTTGCCAACTGAAACTAGCCAATTCTCTCCCTCTGCCTCCCTCCCTCCCTCTTTCCTCTCCTTAGCCCCCCCCCCCTCCTTGGTAAATATGGAAAGGAACAGTCATACATATTCACATTTTGCCTCTTTCTCACCACTTTCCCTAGCAGTCTCTGTTTTATCTATCAATGCATGTTATCACAGGTGACAGTTTCACTCAGTATTTCACCACTGAGTCTCAGTCTTTCCAGCCTACGACATCTCTTTTTTTTTTGACATCCAACCCCTAACCACTACACTATTGTCAGGTATTTTAAGTTTCTGTAACTGCAGCCCCGATATCAAGATATCAGTTCCTTTATTAGATAACAGTAGCTGTTGCAACAAACATCAAGATTTCATAATACCATGATTAATTCTTGTACACATAACCATCCAATGGTCTGTTCCTTGCAGGCAGGGATTTTTTTCCTTTTATGACTCCAGCGTGTCCAAGGGTCTCATGGTAAAGAGCATGGAGGAGCTCTGGGGACATTATGGACCAGCTGTGGAATTGGGACACATGTCTTTTACATTCTTTTAGCACAGAGGAATTTCAAAGGGAGCTGAGAAATATCCCCGGCTTAACAGACATTTCCTGGTGACAGTTCCACCAGCTTGTAATGGATGTGACAAATAGATAATAACCCCCTATGTAAGTGTAGTGTTCTATTTATAAAGCATTTTAATGTAAATAATAGGAATAGGAAGTAGGCTTAACAGGTTCATTATCTTCATATTACAAAGGGAGAAAAGAATTCAGTAAAGTCAACTTGCTCAAGATTATACAAGTACTCTTCTGGTTTAGAGCCAATGTGAAAGAGCTTGGAAGTTGTCACTCTTGTCCTTATAACAAGAAAAAAGTTGACAAAACTGAAAAAAACAAAAATGTTTTTCTTGTACTCATTGGAGAACCGAGGTTACGAGGCAAACTGCTAGCCTGAAATCTGGAGCAATGGGTGAATACAGAGATTCGCAGCTGAGATCAGCTTACCTAGAGCAGAAGCTGCTGGAACCATAAGCTGGTAGGGTCCCCTGTGTGGCACTTTCGACCAATTGCTGGAGGCTGAGTGAGGGCCAGCTCGAGAGTGAGAAACTCCTGGGGGCCCGTCTTAGAGTGTTCTCCAGATTTTCGTGGGTTTCACCTATTTCTCATGGTGAAGAGTGAAGAAAAATTATCTGCTGGCTCTGGCAGGTGGGGACAAAAGGTAATCATCTCGAGATGTGCCCAGAACATTCTCCAGGACGAAGGCCTACTCTAGGGGGAAATACCAGAGCCTTATCCCACCTGGGAGAAGGACATTTACCCAATTCCAGCCCCCTCAAGCCTTCCTGTCTCACCTCAGGGGCAAAAAAGTGCTAAGAATCTCTTGGGAAGGTTACAGCCCAGTGATACAGGCTTGCTTATTGCTTGCTTTTTCACCAGATGATTCTAGAGAATGGAAACCAATAGCTAGGTGGTATATGAAACTGAGTTATATATTTAAGAACTACTTTGTGAAGATGATTTACAGGGACATTGTGGAAAGGAATTGTTCAGAGAAAACTCCATTGTAATGCTGTATATGCTCAGGTTCAGGGGGTTCCAAGGAGGGAAAGGCCACAGAGCTTTTGTCTGATCAATAGCCTCATTACCACTCAGCCAATAACTCCATTAACAGTAATGATGGCTTGTTTCCGCTTTTGGCCACAAGTTCCGAGCATGGTCACTACACAAATCCATACCGTCTCCCGCTCACTGTGTCACAGATGGCTGGAATGTTTCCCACACCTTAATTTTACACTCTATGAATCCTGTAAAGTCTGTGCATGACTTTGAAAAACCATCCAGGGAAGCGGTTCAAGATGGCAGCCTAGGAAACCCTGAACTCACCTCCTCCCATGGACACTCCGAATCTACAGCTACACATGGACCAGTTCCCTCTGAAAACTAGATGAACTCCTTCACAAGAAAAGATAAAAGGACCACGTCACGATGAGTAGGAGGCAGAGAGACATGCTAACACCAAAAAAATCCCACCCCGAGTTGGGTGACACACAATAGAGAGGGATCTCACCAGTTCAGTGCTTCTCTCAGAGGAGCGAGGAGTTGCTGCCTTACATCAGGCACCCCAACAGTTGGAGTCTCCATCAGAGAGATGAGCCCCCCAAACCTCTGGCTTAGAAAACCAATGGGACTGATGTCCAAGGGGCCCAAAGGGCAATAGTGAACTGAGGTTCTTCTTTGAAAGGACTTGGCTGCAGCCACTCACCCCGGGATCCAGCACAAAAGCAGAAGTTTGAAAAGCACCTAAAGTATATGTGAAGGAGATTCGTTTGCTCATCTGAGAGCATCTGCTGGAGGGGCAGGGGACAGCTGAAACTTTCCGGAGACAGAGGCGCTGGCAAATGCCATTTCTGCATTCTCCACCTGCCTTGTTGGCACTGGCGAGTGAGCTCAGATGTGGCACCCCCTGCTGCCTTGCTAGAACCAGCAGAGACCAGCAGTTATGGGCCTGTCCTGCTGCCTTGCTGAAGCCATAGAGCACAGGCTTGCAGCTTTCCCTGCTCACTGGCGGTGGCAGGCAAGGCAAGTTCAAATGGTCACCGCACTGCCCCGCCCCTGTGCTAAAGATGGCAGGCATAGGCAGTTCAGACACACTCTCACTCCCTGGCATAGTATAGTGTATGTGTGGTGTATGCTGTGCCCTGCCCTACAGCACAGGCGACTCCTAATTTCCCAGTGGCCAAGTGGAAGCCTACTTACAGATAACCCAACATCACAGCAAAAACAAGACCACAGTCAGCCCTTGCTTATCCAGGAACAAATTAACTGTGACAGGTACAGCAGGAACCTGGATCAGGGGTGGATGCCCCCCAGCAGATGCCCTTAATTAGGTTGGTCATTAGTCAGCAGTTAATTTGAATGGATTTCTGACTGTCACAGTCCAGGAGAAGAAAGCCAGCTGGCTAGGTGGGCAGCCCAGGAATGGCACTCTTCTGTGGGGGAGGGACAACAGGAAGCAGCCTAGGCTGCTCTGGGAGGGAGCCAGGACTGGCCATGTGTACTAACTGGGAAGGACAAAGCTCACCAGGTACAGCTGAGCCTCAACAATAGTTAATCCACAACATGTAGCCTCAAACAGTGCAGAGGCGATAGCACTCGGTATTCCTGAAGGTGGGCTTGTGAGGAACCCCGTCATGACAAAATAGGGGCTCCTGTACCTGGCCATGGGGTCTAACCCACAAGGCTAACAAGCTCAATAAAATGCAAGAAGGGTAAACACAAAACTACACGAAGACACCTCAGATTCCTGAAAACAGTGATCAAGAGAAAACAAGAGCAATCAAAAGGGAAAAAAGGACATAGTTCATAAAGGGGAACAAAGATAAGAAAAATCACAGACTTCTTATCAGAAATTAT